ATGTTGCAAGGATTCACCAGACATGTCCTTTATGTGGTAGAGATTTTAAAAGTGGTAGAAGTACTAGTATCTGATATTCAAAATTGCAGCTTGTGTGTGAAGATATGAGATTCATACAAAGGAGTAGACAGTTCACCTTGACATAGTATCCTCAAGCTCCATAAGAGTCAATATTACTTGTAACAATTTCATGGGCACCAACAATTTCCAGAGAATTCTGCAAAAGATATGCCATGTTACAAAAATAGCCTCAAACCTTTGAGTTTGTACTAGGTATTATTTTTTTGGCCACTTAATATAATTTTGCAATCAGAGGTCATTAGAAGCTAAGCGATGTGGTTTAGAAACATTGCTCAGACTTCTAAGAGTCACAAACTAGAAAACTCAAGGTCAAATTTATCCACAGAAAACATAAACTGTTTTAGGAGAAATGAAAGAGGAGAAGTAAAGCTTTTTTGCTTCTAGTCAGACAGTATAGTCTGTTAGTGGCAAGCTTGGGATCTAAATTAAATCTGTTGGTTTTAGTGTATAAACCATAAGTTTATGCCTTCCGTAACTCTATGAAAGATAAAAGTATGATGACAAGAGATGAAAAATATTATGAAGATAAAACAATCTATGCTTTCTTATGCAGCAGGTTTTCATTTGGTCTATTTTGATACTGAAAAACTAAAATAATGGTCAATCAGATGGTTTTTCTTGATGGTCACTCATTGATGCTTTTCCAAAATCTGACTCAGAATAGGTAAATCTGTTATTGACTGTGTGCATTGAAAATTTGTGTTCATTGAAAAATTTTAATTGTATATTTGACTTTACTGTACAAAATTTTGGATGAGTGAATCTGAAATCAGAGTAAAGAAAACTCTGAGATCAAGCAATTTTCTAAATTTTATGAGAACTTGGAAGAATGCCTATAGTTGACTTTAATCTGAGGCACTCCATTTCTAATACCCAAATTGCTTCTTTTATTAAGTTATTTTCATATTATTAAGGTTATTTTCATACAGTGTAACTTTTGGAGGCATAATCTTTATTTTTGTAATGTGTCGAGGAATTCCCATTGGGAAAAGTGCTTCTTTTTTTTTTTTTTAGCTTACTCTATTAAAGCCTGCATTATTTAATATTGATGTATTATTATAAAGTCATTTTCTCATATTTTCTTACTTATAAAATAGTGGATTTGATGAACTTTAGAAGATCTCTGGGTGTGCGATGTGAGAACCTAGAAAGATGTAAAAATTATATATCTCAGGTTTACAACTCTGACATGCCCTATTCAGCATATCCACATTTTTCTTCCTGGAAATTTTATTTTTAATAAACTTAACCATCCCTCAGATGCTTCTTATGTAACAAGGACAGATAAAGTTTAGGAATCCCTAAATTGTGTAAAACCAAGGAACACAAATTTTCATTTATTAGAAACAATATTTAAAGAAATTTTTCACTAATTTATATTTCTATTCCTTTAAATTATTCAATGATTCCTTGAGGTTGTCCTGTTGAGACTCTGTTCTTCCCTCCCTGTAGATTCTCTGCATCAGTCTGGGACGTCCCTCGGATAGTGGCACCTGCCTAGCACTGTCTTCTTAAGGGCATCCTTTACCTCCTTGTTCCTGAGGCAGTAGATGGCTGGGTTAAGGAAGGGTACAATTACAGTATAAAGCACAGAGATGATCTTGTTGTGGTTGAAGGTGTACATGGCCCGGGGCCGTGCATATGTGAAAAGAGTCGAAGAGTAGTAGATGATAACTACTGCCAGGTGAGAACCACAAGTGGAGAATGCTTTCTGGCGCCCTTGGGCGGTAGGGATTCTCAGAATGGCCGCAATGATGGCAGCATATGATGAGATCACAGCCAACAGAGGGAGTAGAATCATCACTAGGGCCAGGAGGAAATCTACTATCTCTGCTTGCTCCTTGTCAGAGCAGGTCAGGTTGAGCAGTGGAGAAATATCACAGAAAAAGTGGTTGATAATGTTGGGTCCACAATAGGAAAGTCGGGAAATGAAAAGAAGTTTCATCATGGAGCTGAAAAAACCACTACCCCAAGAAGCAGCAGCAAGTCGAGTGGCCAGGCTTGGAGGCATGAGACTGGGATAACGGAGGGGCTCACAGATGGCTAGGTAACGATCATAGGCCATGACTGCCAACAAGACACACTCAGTGCAGGCCAAGGCAATAAAGAAATACAGTTGGGTCATGCAGCCTACAAAAGAGACTCTGCGGTCCTGGGTAAGAAAAGCTCCAAGGAGTCGAGGAACAGTGACATTGATATACCACAGCTCCAGGAACGAAAGATGACCAAGGAAAAAGTACATGGGACGGTGAAGGCTGGGGGTGAGCCATATCGTGGAAATAATGAGTGCGTTCTCAAGCAATGTCAACAGATAAATTGCAAGAAAAAGGCTAAAAAGGAGCAATTGGAAGGGTGGTGAAGTAGGGAAGCCCACCAAAATGAATAGCTCTACATGGCCACCACTCAAATTCCTCATCGTTTCTCTTCACTTGACTGTCTGAAAAAGAAAGAATGAGAGGTTAAAAACAAGGTAGTCTAAGCATTGATCATACATCACTAAACACAGCCTCCTGAAGATTATTAATAGTTCACTATTAGTTATTATTATTCTGTTTCATCGATTTGCTGGTTCGTTTCCTACTTCATGGAAAAAGTACTCAAACTTGAGAAATGTCCTCCACTTACAAGGCTTTACCATGAATATTTGGTAAATGCTTCCTGAGTGATTTCACGGCAAATCTTAGTATTTGATTCTTAGTTTTGAGTGTGTGTGTCATGTCTTTTCATGTTTATAGTTTGCTCCTCTCGGAGTACTAAGGAGCCCTGGTGGCCTAGTGGTAGAGTGTTGCATTGCTCGTCCAAAGGAATGTGATCCGAATTCACCAAGTGCTCTGTGGGAGAAAGATGGGTAATTGCCTGTGTAATTTTCTGTCCCTGAAAACGCACTGAAAGGTAAGCTATGAGTCAGTTTTGACTCAACAGTGCATAACAGCTTCTCTCATTTCTTTTGCTAACATTTACAAATAACTAAAATTGTTGTTATAAATGACTAAAATTGTTGTTTTTGTTATGTGCCATCAAGTTGCCTGTGCCCCATAGCGACCCTATGTACAGTAGCTCTGAGGCCTGCCCAGTCCTCAGCCAGTCCCAGTTACTGTATCAATACATCTCATCCAGGTCTTCCTCTCCTCTGCTGCCCACCCACACTTCCAACATGATGTTCTTCTTTAGGGACAGGTCTCTCTCTCCTGACCACATGCCCAAGATATGTGAGATGTAGCTTAAAAATCCTAGCCTTCAAGGAGAAACTTGGTTTCACTCTCTCCAAGAGAGACTTATTTGTTTTCTTGGCTGTTCATGGTATGTTCAGACTCTTCTCCAGCACCACAACTCAAAGGCATCGATTCTTCTTCTGTCATCCTTGAAAGTACTTTCATTCAATATTTGTTGAATAAATGAATCAACTTATGAGTGACTGTGCACTGAAACAGAGGAGGGAGAAAACTGTTTAAAAGACATATGTGACTAGGTATTTCTGTCATCACAGGAGTCTAGAACGATGACTCCATGGTGGAGAGGACCTGGGGGAGGGTTTGTAAAACAATGAAAGAATCTTTTCTTTTACTTTTCCATAATTTTTGACACATGCACTTATAACTTGTTAGTTAAATTTGTGTCTTCTAGGTTGCAACCCCCCCCCCATGATACATCTTCAAGGATATGAACATGTACGGCTAAGCACAATTAATAACAGTGCATCTAAATTCCAAAATCAATCTCCATAATAGTCTCTGTGTTTCCTACTGCCAAAGGGGCCCTTTAGAGTAGTGAGAGAAGATTTTCACCCTGAAACCCACAGCGTCCCTTTTCAGCAGGAAGTAGCTAAGAGAATACGCCATCCCCTTTTCCTTATGAACCAGGGTGAAGTCTCTCTCAGGGAGGAGTGATAGGGAATGGCAAAGGACACACTGACAAAGGAGATTAATCAAAACTGACTTTGACAAGCACTGTGGCAATTGGACAATTAAAACAGACATTCGGATGGTGGGGGAAGAAGAACAAACTGGGGAAGAGGGTAGAGAGAATGGTGCAGCAATGAAGGAATGAAAACCCAAAATCCCTGTAAATGTTCATTAAAACTAATAAAATTTAATAATTTAAAAAAAAACAAAAAAAACCCAAACTTATGAGTGACTGTAAACTGAAGCTTATCTTTCAAGGTAGGGCTTATCTTTCAGGGGAAATTAGACTAAAAGGAAGCAGTTGATCAAAAGTGTTATCTGAAATACAACACAAATGGCAAGGCAATGCTGAGGCTTGGAAAATGTTCATTCACAAAATGATATACAATTCACTATGGAGGAGATGAAGTAGCTCTTCTGCCCCAGAGATGAATCATTCATCCATTACTCCATTAGTTTTACAGTATGTTAGATTACATTCTAACATACTAGAGTGCCCAAGTTAGCCTCATCCCAAGGGCTCACACAGTAAGATAAAAAAAATGGCTTCTTAAAAGATACTAATCTTGATAAGAGTCCTGTAAGTGTGGAACATGGTACTTGTACGCATTAATTTGCATAGTAAAGAAATTACAGATATGATTAAGTATCTGGAGACCAGGAGGATTTTTTTGAGTTAGCCGATTGGATCCTAACTGAAATCCCAGGTATTCTTAGAAAAGGGAGGCAATGGGAAATCTGTTACACAGCATAGAGGAGAGGTAGCTCTGAATATAGAATAAAGAGCAGTTGCTGTACTACTGGTCTATAATACTGCAGGAATAAGGCCACAAGCCAAGGAATGTCACAGTTGCCAGACACAAACTTGCTTGCTGAAACTGAAGAGGATCTGAAGTTTTTGCTGCAGAAGGACTGCAGTCTCTGATACGGATTGAAGCTCAACATCAAGAAAACAAAGATTCTCATCACTAGGCCGGTTGGCAGCACCATGAATGAATGAAGAAGTGATTGAGTTTGCTAGCAATTTCAGCTTACTCCATTCCATAGTAAGAGGCATGCAGTAAATCACTGTCTTGAACTTCCAGAAGGAGCATGACTCTGGTTATGCACTAATTTCATTTGAGCTATGGTGCTGGAGAAGAGTACTGAATATCTTATGAACTGTAAAATAAGAAACATATATGTCCTGGAGAGTGTGCAGCCTAAGTACTACTTGGATTCAAAGATGACAAAACTTGGTGTCATACTTTGGACACATCTCTCCAAGTGATTTACAACCTCCGAAAACCTACTGGAGGGTCAGCTATGAGTCAATTCTGACTTCATAGTGCACACACACACACACACACACACCCTGAGAAAGAATCTGAGTACCCTCAGGTATTCATAAAGGAGTCTGAATACCTGAGGGTACTCAGATTCTTTCTCAGGGTGTGTGTGTGTGTGTGTGTGTGCACTATGAAGTCAGAATTGACTCATAGCTGACCCTCCAGTAGGTTTTCGGAGGTTGTAAATCACTTGGAGAGATGTGTCCAAACAGTGATTTAAGGTGCCAGATACTTGCTTCCAACAGAGTCTGAAGCAGAGGTATGGACATTAAGAGTAGGAGCAAGATAGAAAGGAAGACATGGGAAAAGGTATTAATACGGGATTATTGGAAAAAGTAAAAGCTTGTGGATGCCTGGAAACTTCCAAAAGTTAAGGAAATGGAATTTGAATGCTTTAATATAGTGAATAACCACAGAAAGTTCAGAAAAGGACTCCACAGAGAAAGGCTCATAACATAAAGGCAGACAATAAACATTAGTGCATGTAGTTTCAGTCCTTAGAACTAGAATTAAGATATGTTTTTTGAACCTACCAACTGCTCTATGGGGGAAGGATGGACAATCTCCTCCCATGAGATTTACAGCCTCTGAAAACACAGTGGAGGGTCATCTGTGAGTTGATTCCAACTCAGCAGCACATAGTAACAACACTGTAGAATCTTGAAAACATTGCTTGTTTTGAAGAACTATTTTACAAGTTTAGATAATTGAACGGAATTAAAATTAAGACTCTTGCCATTTCTCAGAATGCATGAAATTGGCTTGAAACTCCAGTCTGCTCTAAGAGATGTTCATAATGCCCATTCCTATCTATTCCTCACAATCACTTTTCATCATCATTGTAACTTACTAGCTCATTTGATGTTCACATCTGCTATTACCAAGTAACTTGGCAGCGAGGGCTACCCCTGTTTCTAATCTCTGCCAGACAATATCTTTTTTTTTTACTAGATTGTATTTATAACCGGCCTGCCTTCTTTGCACAGGTTATCATCGATAAACTATTTTTAATCTCTGTACTCTGATTTCTTCTCTAAGTCTGAGTATATCAGTACACTGTGCATATTGAAATTTTGTCCTTTTGTCCCCCATTTTCTCTAATTTCTGGCTTTTATCTTTCTCTCCTTCATTAATTTGAGAACTCTTTTCTTATGGTCACATCAACATTTTTTTTATCAAAACAACACAGCAACACAAGGCAGACAAAGGATTTGAACATAAAACCTTGACACATTGCTGTGGAACCTGTTCTGATTCATAATGTTCCTCTAGAACATAGCAAAACTGCCCCATAGCAAGGCTCTAAATCTTTATAGAAGTGAACTGTCATATCTCTCTCCCACAGAGCAGCTCTCGAAAAAACAAAACAAAACAAAAAGACCAAAAAAAAAAAAAACCCCACAAAAACCAAACTCCCAAACCCTCATTGCCTCAGAGTCAGAACCAACTCATAGTCAACCCTCCAGAAAGTTTTCAGAGGCTGTAAATCACACGGGAGAAAACTGTCCATCTTTTCCCTACAGAGTAGCAGGTGATATTGAACCACCTGACTTGGGGTTAGTGGTGCAACTCACTACCCACTCGATCATCAGAACATCTAGTGTGTTCAAATTGCTAACCTTCTGGTTAACAGTCAAGCCCTTAAGTACTGACACTGTGAAAAGGACTTTAATTTGCCCATTTGATTATTTAGATTATGAGGAATAATTAATGTGTCACTCTGATACTTTCATATGGATTTCTGCCTTTGTATTTTTCCTCAGAACCAAATGCAGATCTTTACCCATGGGGTTTCTCAGGACTAAATGTTACTATGTTGTTGTTTAATTCAATCTTCTACTTGATCTTAGATTCTCATTTTTATGGTCACCATTTCCTTCATACCTATCACACTGGAATTCTTCAAGATGCAACTCTGTTTTCTAAGCACATTCTGTTATACATGTATTTCCTACATTATTTAAACAGATTCCTTGTTTCTACTGTTGTAAATTTTATAAACTCTTTAGGGTGATGCTGCATTTACCTGTATTTCTCTTCCTTTGGACTAAAATAGATACTTAATGAAGCTGTACTGAATAAAGTAATAAATATTTCAATATTTAAGACCTGGGAATTTCCAGCTCCTTTTCTATTTCAAGAATCAATACTAAATCTGTTTCCTTCAGTCAAAAATGGCTGCTGTT